ACATGGTGGTGATGATGACGGTCCGGCAACCGCGGAAACGATGGTGGTTCTGAGGATAAGTATCAGGATGACGATGCACATTGTGGTGATGTGGCTTGACGATGTTGACGATCTTTCGATAACGGTGACGAAGAGTAGGATGGGGATGAAGATGAGCATGAATAAAGATGATGATGATTAGGATGACAAGGATTACAAAGGGTGAGGATCAGGGTGAAGACGAGGATGACGGTGAGGATGAGGACGACGACGATGATGATGATGGTGATGCTGATGAGTGTTGTTGGAGTTAAGATATGTTTCGAGGTCCGATCGACTGACCATGGGGTGGGGCCTGGCATGATTGGATTGACTTGTCACGCCAGGGTGCTGCAGCACAGACTGTACAGCACTGTGTAGTTGCAAAGATGCTCGGAAGTTTCGTCTGGCACAAAGCGAGACGTCAGTCGGGAGTCCTGATCCGATCGACCCACGAGACGAACGTTTGCCACCTTCGGTTGCCCCCTGCCTATAGTTAGCAGAAATCATAATTAATGAATTATGCTAAATATTGCAAAATAATGTAATATGACAGTATATGTTGATAACATCTCCATGGATTTTCAGAATAATGAGCATCATCCTTCACATGGTGAAAGGCAGTTTGCTAGATGTAAAGAGTGTAAGAGTCTAGTATGTTTTAAGAGATTTTACTATTGTAAAACGGGTAGGCATTCAACGCAGTGTAGAAACACTGCTACTTGTTGTGAATGTTTAGATAGCATGAAAAAGTACAACGATAAACGGAAAGAAATGAGTTTCAATGATAAACGGAAAAGGGCTTAAAATGATAGTGTCTTTTATACGTAACGTGGATGATTCAAAAGTTAAATGCACAAGGTGTCACAGTAAAAAGACAGCTGAAGAATTCGGATACAGTAAGAATAACAAACTATTTGCAAATTCCATTCAATGCAGAGAGAAGAGGAAAGAGTACAGTCAGAAGTACAAAAAGCAAGCTGACAAGCCGTCAGAAGTTGATAACGTGTTTAATCAAGTTTAATCATGCACGACAATTACTGCTGAACGATGGGTTTCTTGAGAATTACTTTCTTGAATTTAGTAAGCAGGACAAAAAGGTAATAATGGCAATTTCAATGAACAATGAGGTAAAGGATCTCAATAGTAAGCAATCAGAACAAACCAGTGAAAATTGCCATACTGTATCGGTTAATGCATTCATAAGTATAATATGAACTTCATAAGAATTTACGAGATTTGAGCACAATATGATTACAACCTTTGAAACCAAGCCTAGTAAAATCTATGAGGGAACCCTTGCCCACTTTGGGATGATAATACCACCTTAGGGAATATGGATGGGGTAATCGGGTATTCCTATACTTGTATTGGCAATGGGAAGTAGTGGTGTTACAGTTGGTGAGATATAGGGGGAGTATAGGCATAATCCCATTATAGGGATGAGGTAATCGGTTATCCCTATACTTGTAATGGTAATGGGGAAGTAGTGATGATAAAGTTGGTTAGATGTAGGGGGGAGTATAGGAATAATAGTCTAATGGGTTGACTGGTGGTATTATTACCCAAAACGGGCAAGGGTTCTGCTAACCCCTACACCTTGCACCATTTTACGCGTTGTATCGCTCAGTGCGGCAGGCATCTTCGGCCCGCTTTGAAGTGATCAGACTATGTACATCCTACACCCTCAACGCTTTCATCCTTAAGCTGCACCTTACACAAGAATTGGACTGTAGAATTCGGGATTCAGGGTTCGGGACAGTGTAGGTTATAGTAACCGAGGATTTAGGGAATAGGGTTCTGCGTGTTTTAGGTCGCAATGTCGGTATCGGGGTGTATGTGCTGCGAGCGGCTCAGAGAACGGTTAAGGAAACCTACATGCACTATAAGCCTGAAGCCCCACACATGAAGATCCTAAACCCTGAAACACCAAAGCCCCAGCCCCCAATCAAAACACCTTAGGAAAGTAGACGTCGTCGAAGTGCCAGGGAATGCAAGAGCCACGCCTTCTTTAGCGGCCTCAACTTCGAGCGAGGCCCCTGGAATCAGCGGCATGCCGGCCGACAACAGCACCGAACTAGTACAAAGGGCTTCAAAGCGCTACAGCCCGGCATCCTTTCCCTGGTGCAAGACGGTTCTAAGCATGAGGCCGTTTCAGATCCTTACGCAATGCTTTAAGATTTTGCGCCGTAAAAACTTTGATATCCCTTTAGCCCAGCTCCGATCACTCTGACTGAACCCGTGCAGCCCAAGGCTTCCAAGCTATTTCTAAGGGTCCCGTATGAAATTTATTAACTCAAGCATACCCAAGACCGTCTTCTACTTATTCACGCCCCTATATTGCAGCAGTCCCTACGAAATTGTTCCGTATATTATCGCAGGCCCAAAACCATCCCCCTAAACCCGAAACTCTGAACCTCCTAAATCCCAAACCCGAGCATTCCTACAACAGTCCTCCGAGGCAGCTTCATCTCATGGATCCTCCTTTCAAGCCGGAGCTCTCAGGCTCGGGGCTGCCACCTTGATCTGGGTTTCGGGTTCATTTAGTGTTGAGGGGTTTTTTGGGGTTGATTTAAAGTTTAGGTTTTGGGGTTCATTTGAAGTTGAGTTGTCAGGGTGTAAGGTTAAGAAGTTTGCAAGTTTCTATAGGTTGACTTTTTGTTTGTCCCCGGATTAGCAGCCCACAGTTCCTCAAGGAGCTGAGTATTTGGGTGCCAATGTTTATCCTTGGTCAGCAACGGGGGATTCTTGGTCGCAACGGGGGATTCTTGGTCAGAAGTGTGCATTGCACCCATTAGCGTTCGATACTACGAGCACATGCCCGCAGTGTACACCTCTTTAGTGTTAGAAGCAGCAATCATGCTGGCGGCGATGATGATGAATATAATGAGGATGATGGTGATGGTGGTGACGATGATGCTAGCGGTGAGCATTAGCTTCGATACAGATGTGTTCCATTCTGTCTGCGCGGGTCTCTGGCGCTATGTTACATTAATGGTGATCACAACGTGGTAGTACCTGACTGCGACTGCGACGTTCTCGATTATTGATTCTCGTGCTTCGTGTGAGCGAATCTCCGACAGTTGTGATTCCCTTTTGTTCTTTTTACCTTTTTTCACTTCGTCGTTCGTCCGCATTGCGACTACTGTGCCAGTTTCCCCCGAAACCAAGCTGTGTGGGGTGGACCGCTGGCTTCGTCAGAGCTCGGCCACACGGTCTGATGAGTTGCGATTAGACTCAGGGCGAAGCCAACCCGTACCTGCCATGCCTGAGCTTGTTTCACACCGTAGCTGCGCCCGCAGTTAAGTTCGACACCCTACACAGGCGCGACATTGACGGCTCCTCTTTGCTAATATCGTTCGACATGATGTGGATGATGAGGATGAGGGTGATTGTCGTTGCAACCAGCGAATATTATTTGTCGTTCAGTGCTGCGCCACTGGCTACACCCAGCATGTTGAAAAAGGTGCACTGAGACTATCTGAGTCATTGAGCCTGGCATCACATTCCTGCCCACAGATGTTTCATGCGCCGGTATACAGGGCGAAACATGTGCTGCATGGCGTGTTTATGGCTCTGTCGCCCAGTGCCATATCACGTGACAACACAACACCAGCGCAAGATAGCTTCGCCCAATCTTCACGCCAACTCCCAAAGTCCCAAACTCCCGAATTTTGCACCGACACCTCCAGAGCTGTACCTCCTGAATCCCCGATCCCGACATGCGTATGTCCTGGATCCGAAAGCCCTGAAATCTCTAAGTCCTTAATGCAGAGATAGTAGTCCGTTTCATAGGTAGAGCCCCGAAAATATCCCATTCATATTGAGCGAGGCCCTACCGACCTGCGAAACTTCGATGAGCATCCCTTCAGAGCACTCCCGGCTGCTGATGCCGGGAACTTTGAGCAGAATTTCTTCGTCTGCAGTGTTTAGGGGTTTAGAGAGTACGGGGGAGGGTTCCGGGTAGGGTTTAGGGTATAAAGAGCTTGGAGTTCCGGTTTCGGGTTTATGGTTTAGCTCTCGGAGAAGGGGCAGATTCCGGACTGCCCAGGCATGTGCCGCGATGAAGGACCCGACTGGGGCTGGCTTAGAGCTTAGAGGCTTCTATGTCCCCCCACTGATACCTGCGTGCCCTTCTTGTTTTGGGGTTCCTTCTAAACAACAGGAGAAGGGTGCTCCGTATTGATAAGGTTACCGGAGAGCGTAGGCTTATAGAGATTCGAAAAATGAAGCTTCAGGCTTGGAGTAGCCTGTTAGTGAGACTTTCGTTTTGAATGGACCAGTGACAAGCCGTGTAAACTCTAGAAATGGGAGCCAAACCTCCCTCCTAGGGTAGCCTTGCTTGAACGTTGGGTTTCGAGGGGGTCCGAAGGCCTAGTGGGGCCTGTTCCAAAAAAGTGCTACTGCAGACCCTCAGCCTTCAACATCCGCACGGTTTAGGGTTTAGGGGTTTAGGGGTTTAGGGTTTAGGGTTTAGGGTTTGGGGGTTTGGGGGTTTAGGGGTGTAGGGTTTAGGGTTTGGGGGTTTGGGGGTTTAGGGGTTTAGGGTTTAGGGGTTTAGGGTTTAGGGGTTTAGGGTTTGGGGGTTTAGGGGTTTAGGGTTTAGGGGTTTAGGGGGGTTTAGGGGTTTAGGGTTTAGGGGTTTAGGGTTTGGGGGTTTAGGGGTTTAGGGTTTAGGGTCCGCCGCCTGAGGCTTCATGCAGATTGCCGCCTCACTTTCACGCACATCAGAGACAACAGCAAGTAGCAAGGTATTCCCCAGCAGCCCTCAATAATCCTTACGCTTGAACTTCCAATCAGAAACAAACTACCTAGAGGCTCCATGGTCGTTCCTTTTTGGGATTACCTTATAGAGTCCTAAATATGAGCCACAAAAAGGACCTACTTTTGAGCCCATGGGTAGTTCCATTGAAGGTTTTTGCTAGGGTCTCCAGCCTCTGAAGGCTAGTCCGAGTTGTGTCCTTGGCTGTTGCGGGCCATTGATGCGCGACACCGAGGAGTCTGGGGAGCTTGGAGGTAAGGCAGTGCCACACGAGCCGCCTCACCTCTGCTGCCCAATTACTCATGCCTTGTACGAAGATCCGGTCGTGGCTATGTCTGGAAACACCTACGAACGGGCCGCCATCGTGGCCTACTGGGATCAACAGGAGAACCTTTGTGATCCTCTGACAAATGTGCCTTTGCAGAATGCCACCTTGATCCCCAACTGGGACAAGCGGCGAGAGGTCCAAAGCTTCCTGGCCAAGCACCCAGAGCTCAAAGAGCAGAGGGAGAGGGACGCAGCGGAGCTTACGCCACGGCCGCTGAGGAGAGGGGACTCCTCCATGTCAAGGCTGACGATGTCCCAGTCCGTGCGAGTCGAGCGGACGGAGGAAGTGGGATTGTTCTCCCTCCAGTTCCCGGTAGAGATGCCCACAAGCTTGCAGTATCGTATTCAGGAAGATGAGTTCCGAAGCTTGGTGCAGAAGCTGAACGAGAAGCTGCAAGGAACTGAGCCCAGCTTGCTAAGGAAGCTGGCAACTACAGGAGCTTTTGCACTTCTCTGTGCGGGACTTACTATGAGGAGGCCTCGAAGTTGCATCGTTTCCGGTACATCCGCCCTCTCCTTCCTGTACCTCTGCCGCATGCCAGAAGGCAACTCGACGGCAGCATGCCGGAAAGAAGCGGAGCGATTCTTTCGGGAAGAGTTCGTGCCGTTTTTCCAAGTCCGAGGTGTCCAGGTACAGACTGCCAACGTCTCGAGTGTTTGCTACGCTTCAGAGCTTCTGCTGTCGTGCTAAGTTCACGGATTGCGATGTACTGCAACCTCAACCAAAACCCCCTTAACAATAATAGTCCATGTATAACTCCACTATAATGATCCATAGTAATGTACCCCCGAAGCACGTTCGGCAGAGGGTTGCTGGAAGTCGATGCTCGACTTCGTAGGCTCACAGACACCGTCGTCTGCGATAATGCACCTTTGAAGGGCGGAGAGTCCCGCAGAATCGAACCAGAGACAAAATGTTCGGACTGCTGCTGGTCAGAAGCGGACTTGCGTGCAGCGCCCCAAAGCCAAGAACCAGAAACTCCGCAGTCGAACCGGTCGCATGTTCAGCCCCTTACCTAAACCCTAAAAGCCCGGAATTCCCTGCTCTGCACTCAGCCCTCTTAGTCTTGCGACGGGAGCGGATGACAGGATCCTTCATTGGAGTGGGCCAACTATGAGTTCGACCGCTCTGCCTACGAACTGCAACGGCCGGAGGTCGCTATCCGCAGATTTTGAGGTTTTGAGGTTGTCATAAGTATAAGAACCTCGTTAAGAAGCCCTCCTTCTTGTTGGGGTTCCGTATACAAATCTGATTGTTGTTTGGTCTTAAAAACCCAGGGGGTTCTTCATCGGTTAACGGTCAGGGTTTGTCGGGAGCTCACACACGAGGTTAGTGTCCAAGGCGAGGGTAGCGGAACAAAAGAGTCCTGGCTGTTGCTGTGTCTAGCATGTAACGGGGTAGGCTTATGCACAGTGCGGGACGAAGTGCGGCCTATGCATGGGGATATAGCTCTCATACTTCTTGAAAACTGCAAGGATCCAGTTTGCTTGGCGACTAAATGCTTGCACTATTCGTTGACTCGTCTTTACGTCGTTGTGATTAGCTAACCACTAGTTTAATGACCCTAAACCCTGAAACCTAAAGCCTAAACTCCCAAGAAGACCCCAAACAGCAGGATCCTTCCCATGATCCCCCAAAAGAGGACCCCCAAATGGTCTACAACCCTACAACGCCTATAACACTAAACCCCCTTTTGAAACGTCTGAAGCCTCACCCGCCCCGACCTGCCAAGGCTGTGAGGGAGCTTCTCTCCCAGGAGGCAAGCCCGACTCCCTCACTGCACGCCAGGAAAGCCCATGGTACCCCTTGAGGCAGGAATAGATGCCCTTGAGTGAGACATAGAGTTGACTATGTATACATCTTACCGATATGTATTTAAACTGTTGTTAAATACGTATACTCTAATATATGGAGTATCGTTTCAGCAATATTCCTGGACCACGGGGTCTGGGGCCTGTGGATAGTCAACTGAGCAATGGACGAAAGGGTCCAATCGGAGCTTTCTGTCCGACCAGCATGTCGAAGACCGGCCAAGAACGCGACGACATGTCCCAAAAGGGTTTGAGCCACCATAGAGCTGCGTTCTTGGACTTGGCCGGTCTTTCGTTGATCACTTCTACTACCATCTTCATTCTTACAGTGGCTCCGCAAACGCCACGTTGCAACTTGCAAGCGCTCCCAAACCTGATCTGCACCCGCTGCGAAATCGCACAGGGTGCAGACTCCCAAGTGGCCCAAGTGCTTGTCAGATGTAGCCGACTTGACCTTGCTGGATTTAGAGTATAGTGTCTTGGTCAAGGACTCCAGAATGTGGGGCTTCTGAAGCCGACGATCTACACCCAAAAGATCGCAAAAGGCATCCTATCCCTATCATGCTCGACCCATTTGCAGATTTCAATGAGGTTCTTGCAGGGTTGGGCCACGTGCTGGGAGTATCTGTGACTGCCCAACATGCTGTTGTCCGTTCATCCTTGTGTCGGTGACTCTTCTCACATATCTTAGTGGTACTCATGTATGTCTGACAAGTCGCTAGCCCGTAGGCCAGCTGGTGTGTGTGTGTGTGTGCAGGGTTCGGTTATCCTAAACCAAGCCATCCTAGACTTTACACCTAAACTTAACGGTAAACACCGAAAAAACCCAAACCTAAATCCCAATCCCCCGATGAAGACCAGGCTCTAGCGTGCTGGGAAGCTTGCCGAATTAGCTAGCATGTGCGGCCCTTCTGTTTGGGGCTGCTGGACGTGGCTGCTGGTTTTTTTCGGCCTCCATAGCCTTAAGGGAATGAGGGTTTAGGGTTTCTAAGGCAGGAGTTAGGGTCTAGGGCCCAGGACAAAGCGCTTAAGGCTTCGCCAGGGACGACGGTCCCATGGGCGGGTTTAGGATTTCGGGTCTCGCAGCTTTGGCAAGCTGAGCAGAGCTTCTGATTCTAGCAGCAGGAGCAACCGCAGCATCAACCAGCGGAGTGGCAACCAAAGCGACGATACTAGCAGCCACGGTAGGAAGGTCAGGTGAGCAAATAGGAAGGCTAACATCATGAACGCCACTGCGACACTGGCAAGATCGCCAGCCAGAATCGAAACACATTCACAAGAGCTGCAACCTCTGTGGTAGAAAGGCCGAACCTGTGCCAGCCCGCGGCCGCAGACTTCGCCCAACGATTCGAGCGTATACATCTACGGAGGTACACATCGCTGTGGCCTCTATAGTAGACCCTATAGTCGGTGTGACTACCATGATGATTCTCTTGTGAACTGGTATGTAGTGATTTAGCGCGATTACTCGGTGTGGTACTATTCGTGCAATAATCGCGCAGCAAGTACGAGAGCAGCAATCGGCAGTAGGTGTTACTACAATTTGTGGATGTATCCGCGTAGAGTGTTGCTTCCGTTACCTTTAGAGTTTAGAGCTTGTCTTTGATTTAGGATTCGGAGACGTGCTCAAAAGAGCCCGTGCCTTCGAGGGTAGCTGCCCGCAGCGACGGGTAGCCTCAGGCTCCATCTCGCCAGAAAGAGTGTCATCTGACCCTCTTGTTTAATATACGGCAAAAGTATAGTGTAATATGTGTGCATATATAATACATTGTATATATGTACGTAGTATATTATCGCCTTTTATGCACATGAGATTGCTTAATTACACTTATATCTCTCACGCCCTCTTGAAGTCGCCGTCCAACTTAGTCACCTAGCTTCTCGCGTGCTCTCTTCTTCGCCGTTGCTTCAGGCATCTACGTCTACAAGTGAATTTTTGTATGCATCTATGCGTACATGCGCATATGGATGTGTGTATACACACATAATGCATGTATATCACACCTAGAAATACAAACACACATGTACAAGCATGCGCACACAGCGCGGGCACCCGCGGAGCCCCAAAACCCTGAGCCCGGAAGCCCTGAACCTCAAACCCTTTGTCCCCTTGCATCCCTTTCCCGAAACCTTGAAATTGTACAAGCACTCTCTCTCTCTCTCTCTCTCTCTTCGCCACCTGTCCTCCCAAAATCCGATTTCGACGGAGAGCCAGATGTCTCATCTTGTTTGGAGAGGGACTGGCTTCAAAATAATGGACCTAACAGCAGCTTTCAATAAGGTGCCCCAAACCCCTCCAAGTTTTGCAGATCCGTCCCTCCTCGCAGGGGAATCCTCACAGGCTACCCACAAGGCGCTAGGGGATGTGGGGGAGTTTGAACCGGGGTGCTTCGGGAAGAGAGCTCAGTGCCTCTTCAGTACGGAATCTACCTTAAGTAAAAGGCGGCCTGCAGACATTTAGGTGCATTGCTTAATTGAGGGTTATTGGGCCTCGGCTCTTTGCTTTGGGAAGGACGTTGCCACGAGATGTTGGATCTCGAATGCATTAGCAAGCCCGGAGAGCCTGCTAACCATGAGACCACAGCACGGGTGAACAGTTTAGGGTCTAAAACCTCTAGACCCCAGACCTTGAACTTTGCCCCTGAGAACGTTTGTAACCCTGGGCACTATGCCTTCGACCCCTCGCAAGAAACCCTTGTAGGCCTTTGAACCCTAGAGCCTTGCACCGTACACCATCCTAAGCCCTGAACACGGCTGAGCCCTACAACTCCGAAACCCTAGATCCCTAAACCGTAATACCCGTAAAGCCCCAAACCCTTCGTCATAGTTGGGTAACATCTTACATGTTTATGGGTACTTAAACCCAATAAGGAGCAAGAATGTACATTTTAATCCTCTCCCAACCATGAACTAGAGCCCTAGATCTTCTTGGTAGATCCCTAAACCGTAATGGCCGCAAGGCCCCAAAACCCTAGGGTTTAGGATTTAGGGCTATAGATCCCTGAACCCTAAACCCTAAACCTCTTGGTAAGCCGGCAGGCCTGAATTTCCTGGCCGGCATGGGCCTCCTGGCCTTATCTTCCGGCGCTCTGCCAACACAGAGGGCCCGGATCCCGAGCTGGTTGGTGTTTGGGGTTTAGGGTTCAGGGTTTGGGATCGCGATTAGGGTTTAGGGTTTGGTGTGTAAGGCTTGGGTCCTTAACAACAACGCATAGACCCTACAACCCCAACTTTAGACCCTTCACAACCCTGTAACTTCTATTTAAACGGTATATACAGCTTGTGCAAAGAACTTATAAACAAAAACCCACAAACACGATGTGTACCCCAATCCCTCACCTCAGCCTTTTACCAGGCCAAGCTCGAGGAGGACACCTTCTGGCTGCTATCGCACCTCTTGGAGGCGACTCTGTAGGGGAAGTCTCTTTTGATGGATGGTCGTTTTACTGATATGGATAGGGTTTGTAAAGGTTGTGTAAACGAGTGACACGTTTCATAAGTGCTTTGGGATCTTTGCCGGGATTGAGGGCTGCAGGGGGGGAGGCATTTGGTTTTGGGGGTTTAGATCGTTTTGTCTTCGGAGTGTTGGGGGTCGTAGAGTGCAGATAGGCCAGGAGGGCTGTGTAGGTAGGCGTGGGATGTATCCGCATACTACAAGCCCAACCAATGGGCCAGCGACTCATCATGATCCTCTCTTTGTACGATGCCTGCAGTGATGGACTCATCGGGTCTAAGATTCTTGGATGCAGCGCCGTAGGATGGAGGACTGCGGAATGTGGCACATGAGTTTGGGTTTCGAGCTTGTGACGGCATCCTAAAACCTACGGCGTAGCAGCGCTTCCGACAGAACACTAGTCATGTTGAACGTGTGCGGCTTCT